GGGCACCACTAGGGGGAGTGTGTAGGAAGACCTGTGCTTCTGGCAGTGACATCACAGGCCAGCCTACTTACACTGAATAAAACCCAGATGTTAGGAGAAGCAAGCTCTGTTTGCCTGTACCTGACTGATCATGTAGCACCAGCTCTGACTTAGCCCCAGCCCTTTGGCTGGGGCCTTGTAAGTATATGTTTGTATTGTAACAGTTAGCAATTGTAATAGCCTTAGCAACCAATAGTGTTTTGTGTAGTATTGTATTGTATAATTATTGAAATTGACATTCCGCTAGCATCTGTTTATTGAAATTGACATTCCGCTAGCATCTGTTTATTTATTATAGTTATATTAAATATACATTTAATATTACAACGTTTTGTGTATTTTCTATCCACATATTCGACCATAATACCATGAATTATAAAAATATTAATGTTGTTCCGTATTGCTTAATTATTATGTATTAAGAGATTAATATTCATATTTAGGTCACACCACAACAATATATAGATTAAAAACTTTAAGCCCAAAAGGTCTTAATGAAGGTTTCTCGTTTTCCCCTTTTCTATAATAGCCTTTTATACATCAGCATCTTATAATTATGGGATTGTTCCGGTATTCTAGGTAATTCGGATCACCCCTTAAGGAATTTATTGAGGAGACTGGAACTAATGGAAGAGACCCTTTACCCTTTAAATATCTGGTGACAATATTTAGGATTATCTGAAGAAATGGAACAGCACTTTGCTCCAACTATATTGTATTGGTTAAGCCCACTTTAAAACTCCCAAGGGCTCCATTTATGATTATTTATTACTATTTTTGATTTATCATCATATCTTTTCTTTAAGGATTATACAACTTTAACAGGCTAAGAGATACAATATAGTGTCATATTAATTTCTAAGGACGTAATATTCATATACTCTGAACCAAGAATTTGATGGATGGAGGAGACATCACACTAAATGGTGATCTCTCTTAATTTTTTATATGGTTCTACATGTAAGTTTCATCTTTATATTGCTAATTAGGCTTATCTGACAACTCCACTAAATGGTTACAGTTAGAGGCTTTGACATGTTTACCATTTCTAGATATTTGATGCACTTGATGCAGTTAATCCATGACTTTTTTTATTTTTATTTATATCTATTTTTATTTACCTTTCTTTATTTCTCTATTATTCTGTTATTATTTATTAATTTTTATTTTTACCAGCAGATTAGCAATCTTTAAATCTATATAGACTATTAAAACGAAATTGGTTTCAAAAGTGATTGAAGCTAGGCTTAAACGGATAGTTAACTTAGCTTGAAAATCTTTAACAGTAACCATTGTATATTATAATTATATATCCTTTAGACATCGGACACTATGTATTAATTTATTCTCTTTACAAAGTTTACTGGTAATATGGTAATTTTGTATCCTTATAAACCATCTATCACTCTATATTGATGTTTCCATTTTTATTAATATATTGAATCCAAGGTTTAGACCTTCTGACTCCCAAGGGTTAATTGGATGCTAATTTCAAACACAATCTATTTTTACCTTGGGCAGTCCAGTCTTTTTGGCTCCGAGCTCTTTTTACTTTGAGTTCCCTTATTTGTACCTATTCAGCCTCTGTCCGCCTGACGTCACAGGACTAGGCGTGGCTATAACCAAATACAGTTTTGGAGGCGGATCCAAGCCCCTTTAACCCCTTAAGGACCAAACTTCTGGAATAAAAGGGAATCATGACGTGTCACACATGTTATGTGTCCTTAAGGGGTTAAAAGACCGGATGAGCACCCGGCATGGAAACACTCTTGAAAAAGGCGCCTGAGAGCGCTGAAACGCGCGTCGAGTTAGACGTTTTTTCTTTTCTATTAGGTTAGGTTTCTGATGCAGCCTTTTAGTCTCCTGTAGGTCCTGGGGATGATTCTAGTTAGTTATTTGGGCTTCAGGTTCTGATCTATCAGCCATAGAAATTTGGTCACTTTACTTTGATCAGCAACTTGGTTTAGAGCTGTCACTTACTGGCATTTGTATTCACATGAGTATTTACTTAGATGGGGTGGTTGCTATATTTTCCAGCATATCTAAGTAGTTAGATAGTGTGTACCTAAGGATTTTTTCAGCATCTATTTGGGCAATCCACCTTCTTTTAACAACTGCACTTATAGTGTCTGTCTAGATAGACAGACTGGGTTTGACTGCTACACCATTTCTCTACTTTATTTACCTAAGGGATTCAACATATTCTCTCAAAGCAAGTTTAACTTACTATTAATAGCACTAACTGTTAGTAATTAGTAGAAAGCAAGTTTAGCTTACAGCTTACTATTATTATTTTCTGCTTTCATTTATTTGATTTAGCTAAACTTTATACCACTACTGATAACAACATGGCATGAGAAAGATTGTGTTAATACAGTTTCATCTATTTAACACAAGTTCAATATATATAAGATAGAGGCTATCTGAATATAGTCCCATTTATTTACCTGAAGTTGTCTCTCTCTCTCTCTCTCTCTCTCTCTATATATATATAGGTTACACTATTTGGAGCTCCCATTATGTACCTAGAAAGAGAGACTATTTAACTAATTGCAATATATTGCCAGTTACCAGCTTTTGACTTCAATCCCCCAAGTAGATATCTGATCATTATGTTGTTCACATAGATCAATTTTATTAGTAACGACTTACAGTCAGCTACACATAAATATACACGGGAGACTATCTAGGCTGCATCAAGCCTTTCCTTTTTAAACTCACTAGCATCGTGTGTTCCACGTACTTCACCACGTTTTGCCTATGGACATTTTTAAATAGAATCTAATAAAGATATGTTTACGTTTTAAATCTTATTTCATATGTGCCCCATGAGTTATTTTTTTTATCATTGTAGGTATACCTGGGGAGAGTGTTTAGAGGAAAGGCAAGTCGCCCTTCACTCTTTCATCCTCTGAGGCAATTTTCGTAGTTATAGTACAGTCAAAACACCTTGTTCAATGGCCCAATCTAGTTATAGTTACGGTGAGTAATTATAATTCTGAGCATTCAGCCTTTTGGTAATTGTACTATATTCTCAATAAGCCTCTCAGTCAGACAAGTTCAAGTATGTGAAGGGGTGTTTTTACAATTAATTGTGTCTTGTGGAAAAATTCCTAGTTTTGCTATCTCTCTACAATTAAGTGACCCTTTTCCCTTTCTCCTTTTCCTCCCCTTTCTCCTACTTTTCTTTTACTTAATATCACACGCAATGTTCTATTAAATCTCAACACTCTCGATCTAATCATATATATATCACACCCACCTGGGGAATTTGCAGAGATGATGGAACATAGTTGCAGCGGAACAGCACTCCCTTACTATCACGACCCTCAGGGTCCCAAAGAGTGTGTGGTGGCTTGGAGGCCTTTAATGGGAAGAAGCCAAATGAAGAATCCAAGGAAACAGGAGCAGGGGACGAAAAAAGTAGCCGATCAATCTGAGAAAGAAAATCGCAGTCAGGCAGCTGACAGAAGTAGCCGATCAATCTGTAGTCAGGATAGGAAGCAGGCAGGAATAATCAACCGGAGAATCAAGGATCAGGAACCAGGCACATAGGCTGAAAATCAGGGCAATAGGCAGGTATATAGAGACAAGCAAAATAACCAAGCACTGACTGGAAGGTGTGCTTGGTTTAAAAACGGTGGCTGGGATCACATGACCGGCCACCTCCCAGCAGTAGGTGGAGCACACATGATCTATATAAAGAGGTCAGGGACTCGGCACTATCTTGCTTTACACCATAGTCCCTGACCTGTTCCTCCCTCATGGATCTGTAGCTCTCCTCCTCCTCTTTGTGCAGAATGCCGGTTGAGGGGTCTCCAGGAGCGGCGAGTACTGCGACACTGCCGCGAGGGTGTCACGGGTGCCCAGGGGCAGGTGAGTACACGGCAGTGCCGTGACAATATATTTGTGGTTTGTGCTCGTGTTCACACACACAATTTTTTTTTTTTTATATATGACCTCTTTATATTTGTGTAATTATAATTCAGTCATTATGTCTCCCTCAAGGAACCAATATAAATTTAAATTATAATTAATTCTTAGATTCCTGAGCATTTCATGCCACTTAACCATTGCACTATATTCTAAACAGCCTATTCATCAGACATACTTAAGCGCATTTTTAACTCAGTGCGGTCACTATGAAATTCCCCAAATTCTGATAGACTGAACAGATGTTATAAAGTGATCTTTAAATTTGTTTGACTTCCCCACATTCTTTTGAGTAGCTATCTACTAAATCTTCATTAACATTTAATTATCTTGTGAAGCAATTCCTAATTTCACTGTCTCTTCCAGAGAAGAGTTAAGTGACCTTATTTACTTAATATCTAAAACATAGAAACATAGAATGTGACAGCAGATAAGAACCATTCAGCCCATCTAGTCTGCCCAATTTTCTATATACTTGCATTAGTCCCTGGCATTATCTTATTGCTAGGATAACCATAAGCCCAGGGCCGTCTTTAACGCGGGGCAAACGGGGCAGCTGCCCCGGGCCCAGTTGCTCCTGGGGGCCCAGAGCAGCTGCTCTGTGGGCCCCGCGATTTGCCCCGCACACTGAGGAGGCTCCCCGGGTGGCCCATGCACTAAGGGCCACCCGGGGAGCATGTGTCAGCAGGGACCCGGTCGGGCGCTGTGGCGCTTAAACAGCGCGACCGGGCCCCTCTTCAGGTTCTGCAGCCGGCTGGGAGGAAGTGTCGTCACTTCCTCCCACCAGAGATAGCCGTGCGGGAGGAGGAAGGCAGGGAGGAGGGGAGTTCCAGAGGAGAACTCCCATCTGCCTCAGCCTGCCACTGGACCAGGGAAACCACCCTCCAGGAAAAGGTAAGAACCTGGAGGGTGGCTAAATGTATGTCAGTAGGTCTGTGTGTGTATGTCTGTGTGTATGCCAGTATGTCTGTGTGTGCGTGTCAGTGTGTGTGTGTGTGTGTGTCAGTATGTCTGTGTGTCAGTGTGTGTGTCTGTGTGTGTGTGTCAGTATGTCTGTGTGTGTATGCCAGTATGTCTGTGTGTGTATGCCAGTATGTCTGTGTGTGTGTGTGTGTGTCAGTATGTCTGTGTGTATGCCAGTATGTCTGTGTGTGTATGTCAGTGTGTCTGTGTGTGTATGCCAGTATGTCTGTGTGTGTGTGTGTGTCAGTATGTCTGTGTGTATGCCAGTATGTCTGTGTGTGTGTGTGTCAGTATGTCTGTGTGTATGCCAGTATGTCTGTGTGTGTGTATGTAGGTATGTCTCTGTGTGTGTGTGTACGTGTGTGTCAGTATGTCTGCCAGGATATATTTGTGTGTCAGTGTATGTGTGTGTCAGTATGTATCTGTGAATGTTTTAATGTCTGTCTGTGTGTATGTGCCAGTCTGTCTGTGTGTATGTCAGTATGTCTGTGTGTGTGTGTCAGCATCTCTTTGTGTGTCAGTATGTCTGTCTGTGTGGTGTGTGTCTGTGTGTATGTCAGTATGTCTATGTGTGTGTGTGTGTCAGTCATGTCTGTGTGTATGCCAGTATGTCTGTGTGTGTATGTATGTATGTCTGTGTGTGTGTGTGTGTGTGTGTCAGTATGTCTGCCAGGATATATTTGTATGTCAGTGTATGTGTGTGTCAGTATATATCTGTGAATGTTTAATGTCTGTCTGTATCAGCCATTACGTCTGTCTGTGTATATGTCAGTATGCCTGTGTGTGTGTGTGTGTGTGTATATATGTCATTATGCCTGTGTGTGTGTGTCAATGTGTCTGTCAGTGTATGTGTCTGTGTGTTTTAGTATATCTGTCAGTGTAAGTGTTTGTGTGTGTGGCAGTATATCTGTTAATGTATGTGTCTGTGTATGTATGTATGTAATGTATGTATGTGTCAGTATGTCTGCCAGTATATATTTGTGTGTAGTGACTGTGTGTGTCAGTATGTATCTGTGAATGTTTTAATGTCTGTCTGTGTGTGTATGTGCCAGTACGTCTGTCAGTGTGATTGCGGGTTGGACGTAATTGGGAGGTGAGGCAGTGGCAGGGACAGGGCCCATGGGGCCCAAGAAAATGCATTGCCCAGGGTCCTAATCATATTATAGACGGCCCTGCATAGAAGAGACTTGCTAACAATTTGGAAACATCAAGGACTCCTGCTTCTAATACACCTGAGATTAGCTAATAATGTTCTGATTCCTCATGTCCCTTTAACTTGTCCCATTGTTTTTTTAACATTTGGACTTTAAAGCCACCTCAGGCAGGTCTGGTGCAATATTATTTGGCCACACATAGGTTGTCCCAAACTACATGTGCACAAAACACCACATAAAAAAAAAAAAAAAAATGATGCTTAGGAGTTTTCTGACACCCGTCCATGCCACATAATACTGTGACATGTATTTCTTTGGAGCTATGGGTTTTTCTCATTTACGATTCTTATAGAAGGTTTTTTTTGGGGGGGAAAGGGAGAAACATCTTGACATCCATAGCATTAAAACTGATGCAGTATTTATGAGTGTATTATAGAGATTTAAAGCAAATAAACTCACATTATGGTTTTAAACAAAGTTCCACAGCAACAGAAAAAAAGGGGACAAAGAGAAACACAGATGGTCTTGAGGAAAAGGAAATATACACACAAATGGGCTGAGGGAAGAAAAAGACACACAAATGGACAGGGAGGACAAACAGGCACACAGAAGGGCTGGGGGGTATAGATGCCTGCTGTGGGAAGAGAAAGAACTGCCAACGGCAACAGTAATTAAGGTGAAAATAGACAGTTTTGGCTAGGTATCAGAAAGCTATACTGTAAGTGTCTCAGTGTCCCCATGTCTCCCAGTGTCCCCATGTCTCTGTGTACCCGGGTCTCTGTGTCCTCATGTCTCACTGTGTCCCCATGTCTCTCAGTGTCCCCTAGTATTCTAGTGACATGGGGACACTGGGAAACTAGGGGACTGGGCTACATGAGAACACTGACACTGTGATACATAGGGACACTGAGACACCGGGTGTATATGGGAGACTGGGACACTGGAAGACCGGAAGACACTGGGAGCAATCCATCTATACAGCAGAATCAAACTATATGTAGTTTGTTGGTGATTTTACAGAATTTTCTCTTATGTCACTCCTTGTGATTTACATCATGTGATATCAAGCATACATAATTATACAAATGATTATGGCCTGTATTTTATTCCAAGAAAGGTGGCAACCCTAACTACTCTTCACATGCTCTTGCTTAAAGGAACACTATAGGGTCAGGAACACAATCATGTATTTCTGACCTTATTATGTTAAAACCACCATCTAGCCCCCCTGACCGCCTCTTACCTCCCTAAATATAGTAAAATATTACTTGTATTTAAGTCTGCAGCTGCTGGCTCTTCCCCTGTCTGCCTCTGAACTGACTGTCTGCTAACATCATCAGAAGTGGTGGTCTGAGCCAATTACAATGCTTCCTCATAGAGATGAATTAAATCAATGTATCTCTATGATGAAAGTTGAGTGCATGCAGAGGGTGGAGACACTGAATGGCACTGCTGCACACTCGGCAGTACTGCCCCAGGAAGCACCTCTAGCAGCCATCTAAGGAGCGGACAGTGGAGTTATTTTCTCTGAAAAGAAAGTGTTTACTGCAAAAAGCCTGAAGTGAATGATTCTACTCACCAGAACAAATACAATAAGCTGTAGTTGCTCTGGTCACTATAATGTCCCTTTAAGTATGGAAGCTTAAGAGTGATCTAAGGGAACAAAACTTGTGTGGACTGACAATAAAATGAGTTAAGGTAATGCAGACGTTGGTCTCTCTAACATTGTGGCATGTCCCCTTTCTTCTACACTCACTACATACACCTTTACTCTGTCCCAGACTATATACCAGGAACTTCTGCCTGCTAGTAAGATGGTAAGGAGACAAGTGTACATGTGAGTGCTAGGGGACAGTCCTTAGAAAGCGTGGAGTAGGCGCATCATTAGACGCATTTATGCAATGTTCAGGGTGCTGCCTGCATAGTATGCCCTTAGTTGGACAGCCTTCATGATTGGCAGGCTGGCCTTCCAATTCATGCCAGGCTTGCCTTCCAATTCTTTGTGCAGACATTCCCCCTTTTTGGGCATGTTCACCCATTTTGGCAGGTCTGGACACGTGATTCATGTTTGTTGCACACTCTTTTACCCTGCCCATTGACTTCCTGCTTCACTGGACACTGCTGTGAAGGGGTATGGATTTACTTGAAAAATGAAAGCATAAATTAGAGAGAGATTAGCATAGAGTATGTGTTTTCTCAAAGCTGCATCCTTTGAGTTTCCCTCCAGCACCATCTCCATCAGATACAGGACGCTTGGGAGGTATGACTGTTTTAGTGTTTTTGGTCGATATGATTCTGTAATTAGGCCCATCATAAGTGTCAGCACCAGGTCCACTGGGTTCTTAATCTGGCCCTGACTATACAATATACATATTTTATTGTTGCTAGATGCTTCAGATCTGCACCGAAAGCTCATTATTGCTTCCAGTAGCCGGAGACCTTCATATAAACCGAAGCTGAGGCGGCTGAATCCTGATTAAATGTTGCTTTCTGAAACTATAGCACCATACTCCAATGGAAGGGTATTTTAGCAGAATTGTTATGGATAGTTTGGAGTCAAATTGCACATCAAATTATTGTGATTTGTAAATAAGGAGTTTTGCCACTTTTTGGATAGTGCTCCGTTGTTTCAGCTACTTTGTGACATCACCTAAAAATCTGTTGAAGGGAAGGCTGCAGTGTATTAGCAGTGGCCTTTTTTATTATATATTCTCTGTCCCTATGGATACAGTCTTTGATTTCGGAGAACTGAGGAACAAAAATGGACCAACAGCTATTTTTCATTCTTTTAATCCCTCCGTGGCATTCTTGAATATTTTTCTGTTATTTATTGCCTGTTTTTGATCTATTTGGTCGGAGGGATATGAATGAGCAATTCTTTTCATGCCTTTGAGGTTAATAAACAAGCCTATGGTAAAATATATTGACAATTTATATACTTTTTTGAGTATTAATGATGTATGCAATGGTTTCAGTACAGAGAGAAATGAGGCATTGATATTAAATACCACTCCCTCGAAACATCTATATTTTCCTTACTTTGGCTCAAACTTCTCTTTTTCCCTACTGGGAATCTCAATAAATCCCTTAATTAAAATAAAAATAAACTATATTGTAAACCAGACTTGGACTGCTTCTGCATAGGAGTCCTAGGACTGTTGCTAGTGTATATTGAAATGTTATTGTTTATTTTCATAATGCTTAGGGAACACAGTATCGGTACAAACACATTGACATATCAGCAAGTTCGAGTGTACAATAACAGCATAGTAGGGTATAACACAGAGGTGCCAAAGAGATTCCCAGATGTTTTAAAACTACAGTTTGCATGATGCTTTGTCACTCAAAAGCATTCCAAAAGGCATGCAAAGCATCATGGGGATTTATCTTTTGGGCACCAATGTTATAACATGTCATGCAAACCACACCATTTTTAATATAACAATTAATCAAGAAGTACCCGAGTTGCAAATTAGTAACGAGCTGGTTGTGCCAGAATATCAGGGAAACTACTAAGAGGGTATCAACCCCTATTCTCCTGCAGTTACAGGCTGGCGTTCAGTAGGGGCTTACTGGGTAAGGCTCGGGTAGCAAGAGCTAATTAAAACACAGTTATCACATTACATTTATTAAGGGACAAGCAATGCAAAGATAATATTGTAACAAACTAAGTTAAATATGAGTTCTAATAATGAGAAAAGAATGCCAGAACACCAGCATTCTCATAAAAAGTGAACGTGAGTCATGCTGTTTACTTTAATTATCACCACTTTAGTAAGACACTGGAGTAGAATATAGAACTGGACACATGAAGGTCAGTCAAACTTAATTACCACCCACCAGCATTACCAGTAGATGTTTTCACATTAAATGCAGAGGGTTGAGTTATATTCACCTTGCTAATAGCCAGTTGGACTTTCCAATTATGTCTAATGCCCTTTTTAAACTTATTAATACTATTAGATGTTACAGCGGCCAAAGAAAATTACTTTGAAAGGTTGTTTGTGAGCTGACTGTTTAAATCAGTTAATATGCATTTTATGTTTAATTGTTGTATGCCAGTAATGTTTCGTATCAACAGGTGTAATTATAACACAAGTTACCTCAATGTTTTTAAATATATATATATATATATATATATATATATATATATATATATAGTATTCGTTATGTATTTAGACACATTAATTAGACACAATCAATCATAGAACACGGAGTGGGCAAATCAGAAAAGGTATTTTTTTGACATATGGGGATAATAAACAGAATATAGATATAGTATTAAATTAGTTTTTTCTGTTTCAGCAGGGAGCCTGGTGTCATCTGAAGTGTAGTTAAGAATAAACCAGCAACTTCACAACCCACCACACTTCTGCTGCAATATAGAGAACTGTCTACAGATTAGACAGCATCCAAACCTCTAAAAAGTGGAATGTGAAACAAATGCATAGCAACTATTACACTGAACTAAATCTGCCATTTTAAAGGTGAATAATTTAAATCAAACAAATCTTACCTCCAAAAATTACCTCCAGAATATCTCCAAGCACACACTTTGAAGCAGCAACCAAGCTATATTAGCCAAGCTAATGACAACAAGCCTTATATAACTCCTAAAAGCACCACCCACTAGGAATGTTGAACACCTGGGTAGGCCTCTGCTTATTGCAATAATAGCTAATTAACCAGCAATCAATAGCAAACATCTGGCTAATGAAATCAAATTACCAACAGGAAATCAAACTTTGTGCAATCAGTAACCTTTTCCTATAGATGACTCTTACCTGTAACAGTAAAAATAAAAATCTTAGCAAAATCTTAGACTGTTGAAGAATCAGTAAAACTCTCTAGAATATCTCCAAGCACACACTTTGAAGCAGGACTTCAGCAACCAAGCTAAATTAGGGTTTTTAAAGGTACACTTCAAGTACCATAACCACTACAGTGTAACTAGTAACCTGCCGAGGGCCCTGTGTGATCCTAACCTTTCTCTGTTGCTCATAGAATGATGGCAAGAGTCC